TAATAGCTAGTCATTAATTGATTAATTACTAGTCATTACGAATAATATCAAATTAATCACTTTGGCTGTAACATATGTATATACATTTAGGTCACACTGATACTCCTTTTTTAAAGTCGGTTAAAAAAGAATCATCAAAATACGTTAAAAAACGACGAAGTCATCCCTGAAGGAACATAAAAAAACCTTATAGGTATATAACTTTTCCTTTTTTTTAAGTCCGTTATAAATAACAAAGGTCTGGGGTTCGTAGCCTCTTGTACTATATGGATTGTCAAATTATTATTTTTTACGGGGGCTAAAAAAATATTAAAACATTACAATAATAATTTTCCCAATTTTTTAGATAATACATAACTATTAAAATAATATTGTTAATAATTAGATATTGATATCAAATACTTTTTTTATATTATCTCCTTATTTCTATAAAATAGTATGCATGTAGTTTGTACTATTTTAATACTGGCATATAATATGTATACTTTTTGCTTGATAAAGAAAAGAAACAAAAACAAAAATTTGAAATGTCAAAATTGTAAAAAATTTTGCCAAAAATATTTTAAATTATTTAATAATTTGTCATGAGATTTTGTGATTGTTTTTCTAAAAAAGGAAGTTCTGCGATGCGTGTTGTGTTTTCTATAAAGGACCTTTTGTATACATGTGTATCACAAATCACAAAAGTACATTGTGTTTGTTTGTCTATTCATTGGACTTGATTTTACAAAGGAACGCTTTAATTTGCGTATATATCTCATTTATAATAAAGAACATCAATACGAAGAATACAATCATGTTGCTGAAGGTAAAACCTACAACAAGTTTATGATTTTTGCTATTGAACCTATTTATACATTTTATTTGATTCATTGAGATACCAAACTATGTAGTTTTTATATATTTCTACTTTTTCTTTTGTATATTTGTTACAGTGATATTTGGAATTGCTATTGCATCGATATTACTTCAGCATCATCATTGCAGAATATCAATAGTGCAATTTTTTATCGGCAGTTACGAGTCTTACGATGTCCGGATAAAGTGCCGATCTATACCAGCAGTGCTTGAAACCTATTTTAGAGATGGTAAATACTATATTATTCTTGTAACATCAGTAATATCACGTAAGGTACACCTACCTTAGATAAATAAAAGAAAACAAATAAATTAAATACATATTTCTGCATGTAAAAATAATCTTTGTTTTTTTTTTCAGGTACTATTTGGAATTATTCTAACATTCAGACGTATATTATTGTCTCAAGAAACAAGAAACCCATAGATCGCTGCAAATATTAAAGCCGTATTATTTTTGTAAAACTATTTTTATCTTTGTATTAATGTATATATCATAATTAGAACAACATTTTAAGTATCTACGCACAACAAAGTAATATTAAATTATAAATAAAATAAAATAGGTACATATTCACATCTAAAAAAAATGTTACCTTAGGGCATCAAAAAATTATTTTTCATCGCTATCGTGGAGTAGGGTGCCCAAAAGACTGGCAGCATTATCGGAATCTGGAATGTATGTGACGAAAACTGTGTCTCCTAGTACTTTGCTAAGAATGATTATTGTGTGAATGGTGGCTAATGTCTATTTATGTTTCTAGTTTGTCTGTGTATCTGCTGAGGCTTTTGGCTAGTACCTACTCCTGTGGCTCCAATTACTATAGAATTAACATGCGTTTCAATATTTCAAGGCGTCTAGCCTTGAGTTGTGTCTTTAAAAAGTGGTATTTACTGAATTTCTTTTGCTCCTATGTTGTAGTTACATGGTACAGTTATGTCAAAGAGGTATGTGGTGTTGGATGTTTTGTTTGTGTATATTATGTCCGGTCTGTTGTGGGCAACTGTGAAGTCTGTCTGAATTGGGATTTCCCACATTATTTTGCCTGTTTCATTTTCATTTGTATTTATAATAATAATATTACTTTGTTTCATTATAATGTTATAAAAATATTATATTTGAGGATAGGAAAAATCTGTAGTTGTTTAGTAAAAATGACTGTAATATAACTAGATATAGGAAACGACTAAGTCAGGCATTTATTAGCAACTAGCAAAACAAAGTACTAAAAAACTGAGACTGACTGAGAGGCAGACTGAGACTTATTTTTAAGCACTATATTTTTCGACATTATAATAATAAGTGCGACTGCCGGGCAAGGGGTCTCGGGTTCGATACCCGGGTCGGGCAAAGTATTACTGGGTTTTAAAAAATCTCAGTAGTAGTAGAGTAGTCTGGAAATGTGCCCGGTATATGGCAATAGGCTCACCCCCTATTACATGGGACTTATAACATAAATAGTGAAAAGTGGGTGTTACATTGTACAGTGGCATTGAGTGCCGAAATGTGCACCTCTGCCTACCCCTTCGGGGATAAAAAGGCGTGATGTTATGTATGTTATGTTATGTAAATTGTATAATAATTTTGTGTTTTTGTAAATACTGTAAGCGATTCAAATCGATGGTAAAATGTACTACATTTGTGTAGGTATTACGGTTTATTTATATTATTAGATTGTTAACTACTGTTAGGTACTGTGTAAACAACGGTGAACAGTAAATATTTTTAATTTTAGTTCTTTGTGGGATCAATAATTAAAAAAATAACTAATTCAAATAAATTTTGAACGACATATTTATATCTGAAATTTGTAAACATAAAATTAAAAAGAACTAAAATTTGAATTATACTTTGAACAAATCTGTCGTCTGATATTTCCCTACTAGCTGATAATTTTTAAATGTTAATTTGTATTTATTGTAAAATAAATGTAATATTGTAATTAATAACTTCTTTGATTTTGCAGCTACCAGACATAGCTAATTCCAATACTACCTTCAATGTACCAACCTGCAAGGTGCATTGTTGGTAGTATTGGCATTAGCTATACTTAGGATTATCTGTAGACATTAGTAAAAAAAAAATATACTAGGATTCAATTTTCAGATGGCGTTTCAAATTGATTGGCATAAATTTTTGACGAGTGGCAACTCTTTACCCCTATACTTATTATACTCTTTGACCTACAGTTACCAACTTGTTTGTAACACTTGAATACGATGAAAAAAGTTTATGATCACAACACATATGCTCACTAGCACCGGAGTCTACTAGCCATTGAGTTTTATGAAAAATGTCACCGATTGCACTCTCTACAATGAATGCATTGTTTTCTTTTTGTTTCTTGAAACGACACTGACTTTTAACATGCCCAACTTTATTACAATAATAACACCTTCGCTCAAATCGACAGTCTTTGTTATTATTATTATGATAATTGTTTGAACTTGCGCTTTGATTAAATCTACACTCACTTTGAAAGTGTCCTTGTTTATTACACTTGTAGCACTTCACTAGTTTTTTATTAAAGTTTTTCTTAGCAACAAACGCAGCGGAAGATGTTTGCGCACTCTCGCCGCCGCTTTTCTCCTTTATTCTTTCCTCTTCTATTAGCAGCCTGGCTACTAAATTGTCGTAGGTCTGCTTATCGTCGGGTGCAGATTCCCAGGCAGATACAAAGTGTTTGTATTGATCTGGTAACGACATCAATACTTTCGTAATCACGAACTTATCTGATATAGTTTCACCGAGCTGTTTCAATTTATTTTGCATTTCCTGAATCTTCGATAGAAATGTAGACATCTCTGTATCTTCTTCGTATTTAAACTGAAAGAACCTTTGCTGAACAATATGAATGGTCGTCTCCGATTTTTGTTCATAGACACTTAACAATTTACACCACATCTCAGCAGAGGTTTCACATGATAAAATATGCACCATTACATCTTCAGACATTCTTGTAACTAGCAATGTCTGCGCTTTTGCATCGCTAGTTTCCCATCGGGTACGATCGGCATCATTTTCAGGTTTTATCTTAGTACCGTTTACTATGTCATACAAGCCCTGGCCTCGCAATAAAACCGTAGTCTGGAACCGCCATATATTCCAATTCTTGGAACCTTCCAATTTTATTGCTCCTTGTCCGTGTAATAAGGATTCCATTGTTTTAATTTATTTTACTCCTTCTTGCCTCGTTCCAACCAGGAACAAGTAATAATCCTTCCCGGCAAAATGCTAACCTTCAAGCACACGACGCCGCACGTGCCTTATTTTTCACGTTGTTACCTTTTGCCAGTATTTACTCCTTGCATATACTTTTATCCAATCTGATTATGAGTCTGGGCCCATAACCTGAAGGATGTTTAATAAAAGTAATATCCAATATTGTTGCACGTTTATTTTACTAGTTACTTAAAAACAGACATCAACATCCTATTACAATTCTTATACGCTTCCGCCATGACACTTTTTATATTAGAAAAAAATAAGAAAGAGAAAGAACACACATCTTCATATTTTGTCTCATCATATATTACATTGTCTATAGCTCAACATTCCATTCCGTTCTACTCAACACATAGGTACTAAATTAACTAAAAGCCTAATGACGCGCGCGCGTAGGCTACGCTACATCATCGCGCACGCTGCTCATGAGGAAAAACCCCTCTGTGGTTCGAAACTAGTAAACTCAGTATATTCACGTGAGTAACCCGCGATTTTTAGTTAATTGTAAGAGGTAATAATATTTGCCATTCGCCCAGTATATGGTAATAGGCTAAACACACCCCCTACTGTATGGGACTGATAACAACTGGTGAGAATTGGGTGTATTTTGTATATTTGACATTACATAATCATCATCAATATTTAAACCAGCCTAAAAGTGCCCACTACTGACTAAATGCCTCATTAATCACTCCGCTTGCTGTTCGGTGGGCGAGGGTTGGCGATTTCAAACTCATAATTAAAAATTATGTTTAGCATGTATCTCTGTCTACCCCACGGGGAATAAAAGATAAGGTAAATAAATAATAAAACCTCGTTATTGAATATATGTATTCGTTGCTCCAGAAAACCCTTAAACTTAAATCAATAATCGTAAGTCCGGTGGCACGCCATACTCGTCTTTATTGCTATTCAATTAAAGTCCATGTCGTAGTAAGTATTTTTGGCGCTTCTGTAATTCAAGCGCCTCTTTGTAATTGAGGCATTTCTTCTGCGTACAGCGTAAGCTTTGGTCTTCTTGACAATAACATCTATTGCAATCATCGCTGGATAGGAGAATACAAATTAAAATACATTAGGGACATAGAACCAAAGAATTACAATTATTTACGTGCCCATACAAAATTGTAATAACTATACTGAAGGCTCCTGGCCCATTCGGTTATTGTTTTTTTTATTTCATGGCCAACGTTTGGCTACTGTCCCACCTGGTTTAAGTGTGGGAGAGCCATGCTCCGACACGAATGGACCGGTTCGACCGGAGTGATACCACGGCTTCACAGAAAACCGACGTGAAACAACGCTTGCGTTGTGTTTCATCGTGTTAGTCAGGTTACCGGAGGCCCAATAACCCCTCCCCAGTCTCCCCAATCCCCGAATCCTCCATAATCCTCGAATTCCCAATTCCTAAAAAGCCGGTGACGCACTTGTAACGCCTCTGGTGTTCCAAGTGTCCATGCGCGACGCCGATTGCTTACCATCCGGTGATCCGCCAGCTCGTTCACCAGCTTATGCTATAAAAAAGCGTTGATGCGGCCTATGGTTATTTCTAAAACGAAAAGCGTATTTGTGACCTGTTACTTATAACACAACATCACGCCTTTTATCCCCGAAGAGGTAGGTAGAGGTGCACACAGAAGTAACACCCACTTTTCACTATTTATGTTATGAGTCCCATGTAATAGGGGGTGAGCTTATTGCCATATACCGGGCACATTCCCAGACTCCATGCTACTACTGAATTTATTTTTTAAAATACCCTGTTTGTGTATGGTCTACTATAATGCCCTTGAATGACTTTAATCGACTCTGGGCATTTTATGGGCATTCTTTTTTTATTCAAATATTAGTTTTTTCGTGTAGTAGTAACAAATATACCATACAACAATTCATACATTTTTACAGACTATTAGTACTATTAGTAGGATACTAATAGTATAAATCCAAAATTCTTACTAAAGAGAACTATTGGAATAACGCTCTGTTGCTAGTGTGACCGCCGAGAAAAGGTCTTAACTTCAATTCACTGGTCAGGCAAAGTATTATTGGATGAAGGCTCTTAACAGACGGACCGCATTTCAACTGCAATCCAACCGCAAATTGCAGTTCGGATGCAGTTTAAACCCTGCCGAACCTAGATTTTGAGCCTAATTTTGTTTTTGGCATGGAGTATCTGGTATAAGGCAATGTTTTTTTAAGAGGGAGAATCATCAATGACTTCTCCCGCATGGGTGAGGCGGGAGGGAGTGTTAGACTCTTACTGACTAAAAACCACCCCGTTCCTACTCCTGCACTTCGAGCCGGAGCCCCAGTAACCCGTTAGGTTCTCCGCGGCTCCGTATGGTATAGGGCAATAGGGTTACTCAGTAAATGGCTTATTATGTAAGTACTATTCTATCCCTTTGCGGATTTAAAGGCGTAGTGTAAGTACGGTTGTATGCTAAAAGTTCTATTAAAAACCTTTCTTACTTGTAGACGTGGTTAGCTATGCATTTGTCTGAGTCCACGTCGAATGTTCTTCTCGAACTGACTGTACGGTGCATGGTCTCAGCTTCGGTGATGCAGTTTTGTTTAGCGACGCAATGAGTCGTGCCGTTACAGGTGCACTCAACGCACTTAGATTGCAACACCATATTCTCCATATAATCATTGACGTTGCATGGAAGTCCTAGAAAAAAAAACTTTATTATTATTCTTATAGCCGTTTTCTGAAACCCCTCCTAAATTCAAAGGAACTCCTAAGTTAAAATAGATAACTAACGTCATACTATGATATAAACAACGTGCTCCATCGTAGACCGCATCATCGCTTACTACTAGGCGAAATAGCGGTCAGACGTCGGCCCATCAAAAATGATTTGAATCTCCTTTGTTTGACTTTTATCCCCAAAGGGGTAGGCAGAGGTGTACACTATGTACTGTAGAATGTATCACCCACTTTTCACTATTTATGTTATGAGTCCCATGTACTAGGAGGTGAGCCTGTTGTCATATACCGGGCACAATTCCAGACTCCGTGCTACTACTGAGAATTTATAAAGACCCGAGACCCTTTGACCGGCAGTCGAACTTGCGACCACTCAGCCAACGAGGCAGTCTATCACAGACTGGTTATTAAGCTTGATATCTGCTAAATGTAACCGACTGTTAAAAATATTCGTATAATATTAAAACTTACCAGATTTTTTGATAGCCTCGGCTTTATGCACGTCAGCATAGCTCACGCATAGAAGTTTGTCGCACATCAGATTTAGAAATTCATCGCAAAGGCAAACATTGCAGTCGACTTTGTAAGTGGTGCCTGGTACACAGCGAGCTGCAGTGTGGGACAATTCAGGTAGTTCCCTGAACTCTTCATCCGTAATCGGAGGCCTAACATCTTCTGGTTTTAATTCTCGAGCCACTGAAATACAAGTTAAAGCTGGATCATCATGTCCATCTTCCTACATCACCATCTTTGATCGACAGCAATAACGGACTCGTCTGCCTTTAAAAAAATGTCCGATTTTTTTAATATTGGATAAATCGAATAAATAACTTCATTCAACGATCAGTATTAAACTGTCAAACACCAAGCGGTCACCGGTGACCGCGACCTATTGTTCTTTAATTGTGTCTATAAAACCGGTACTCGACGAGTTAAACCTATTGACTTAAGGTCCGGCACTTCTTTGAATAATTTGGGCTAGGTAGTTCTGTCTTTAGTCCTAAGCGCGACGACTTCCAAAGTATCATAGAAGAAAAACAAACAAAATATCATAGTAGATATTTTCGAATTCAAAACTCTCAGCTTTGTCCTCTGTTTGAAACTATAATGGACTTAAGGACTGAACACTCATTTTGTTATTTACCTTTTGATTGTTTGCAAGCGTTTTCATTTGAACAAAATGCCGTCCTGTTTGTTTTACAATAACATCTCTGGCATCTGTCCTGATAAATTCTTCCTGGCACACACATTTTACCGAGTGGAAGATTAGGGAACCCTTTAGTATCTGTTCTTAGGTATCTCTTATTCTCCCTTCTGATAATTCTTCTTATTTTCTTTTTCTTTCCTATAATATTATCTAGGTTTGAGACTTTAAATGATCTGCTACTTCTCTTTGAAGGTTCCGATTCTGGTTCTAGTTCTTCGATAATTTCCTTCTTAATTTTATCGGTGCATAGCGCTTTGGTGCATAATAAGTTATTGTGAGAACCACAACGGCAGGTGTTGCAGTCCATCTTATAAGTCTTCCCCTGAACGCATTTCATCCCATACTTAATTTCTGGTAGCTTCCTGAATTTCGTCACATCTTTGGCTAGAACCGGTTTATAAAATGGAATTGAAATACAATGTTTTCTATTTTGTGATACCAATATTTTATACATTACAATGAATTTCTATTGCCACTAGATAATTTCTTAAAACAACCCTAATGCCACTTAAGAATAAAGTTCAAAATAACGAAAGAACAAAATAACGTTAAAGCTAATAGGTACACTAATAATAACAATCTAAAAAAAAATTGAAGAGAAATATAATAAACGAGCAAAACAAACACTGATAATGAAATGTTAATAAGATGCTAAACTATTACTAGATAAAAGTTCTCTAAGTGATTTTATATCTATTTCGTATTCTTTTAAGCAGATCATTGTAGTACAGGACGGGAAACCATCCTTAGTACAAGTACAAATGTTGCACTTATAACGGTATCTCTTCCCAGGTTGACAAACGGTGCTGACTACACTTTTCAGTTCTGGTAGAATTTCAATCTCGTTCATTTTCTTTACTTTCACATCTCCCTGTTTGTATTCACAAACTGTATCAGTGCACACAAGTTCACCGTCCTTACAAAGGCATTTGTTACAATTTACCTCATACACATCATCTGTATTACAAACTGCCCTCAAAACAAGCCCAGCTTTCTTAATATCATCTAGTTTCGAAATTTCTTTAGTCGGTATAATTTGAATCGGTTCATCTAAGATTTTAATGCAAAGACGGTCTATGTAATAGTTAATGTCACTACAGATGCACAGGTCAGTTTTAGTGCGGAGGACGTCTCCGTCCGCGCAATAGTCAGCCTTATGTCCTTTGCCACAGTATCTATTTGTGCATAAAGTTACATCGATGATGCCGCTAGGGGAACATTGACACAGGTTGCAATCGATAAGGAAATATTGGTTGGCTGTGCACGCAACACTGGTTCTTAAATAGTGATTATTAATGCCCTTTTTTGGTTGGAGATAGTGGAACTCCTGTTCGCAGTTCTTGGATTCCCAGTAGCCGTTGCTACTACAAGTGCAGAATATGTTGTCGGTTCGATATAAGTTGTTTGGTTGGCAATCTTCTTTAGATTCGTTTCCTGCAAAGATTGATTGATATGTAGTTGGTTTAGTTTTGTTAAGTTTTAGTACCTATAACTAAATTGTTTTGAGTTCTTCTCTTTAGTTCAAGTTCTAGCACTAAAAGTAGTTAAGTAAGTTGAATTCTTATTATCTTAGCCCTAATTTAAATACATTCATTGTGCACGGTTGGCGCGGTGGCTGGGTAACCGGCTGCCGCACAATGTGTAGCGGGTTCACAATTCACAATTCCCGTACGGAGCAACTCTTTGTGTGATATTTGTGAGTCTGGGTGTCATGTGTATGTGAAATTGTATGTCTGTAAATAAATGCACCCACGACACAGGAGAAAATCTTAACCCGTTGAAATTCATCCCCTAAATTTGTCCATACAAAAGTAGTCTCTAAACATTGGAAATAAGGTCTATAATGCAGTTAGCGAAGAGCGGTCACCGGTGACTGCTTGGGGATGTACGGGTTAATGTGGGGCAATGTTATTAAAAAAACCAAAGGGTAATTTCTAAGACATGTTTAAAATTGACTTTTCTTGCAGTTTGTACTAAATATCAAATGAAAGATTTAAGGGCCAGTTTTATCACTGTCATACAAATTCTACCTGGTTTTAACTGGCACAATGTTTTAAAACGCTGGCAACGCATCTGTGACTCCTCTGGTGTTGCGGGTGTCCATGGGCGGCGCTGATCGCTTACCATCAGGTGATCCGTCTGCTCATTTGCCTCCTATTTCATAAAAAAAACAAAATACTAGGCTATCTTAAGTAAGCCAGTAAAACCATACCTTAACATTTTACCTACAGAGGGCCAAGCACGAATAACTATCGCATTCGTATCGTAACAGTATCGAGCGAGTTAAGGTTGGTTCACTGGAGCCGGCCAATCAGAGCGCCGAACGCACTCGATACTATTACGTTACGAATGTGATAGTTATTAGTGCTTGGCACTCAGAAATAAGTAATTTGACTTACTCAATACGTCATCTTCTTGGCACTCCTTGCGACGACAGTGGAATATTCCCTCAGAAGAACAAACGCAGATGTGACACGGACCTCGAACTGACATAGTCGGCACACATCGCTTCGCCGGCTCCACTAGGCCAGGTATAAACTAACTTTAACTGTATCTACTTATAATTAAGAGCTAAAATTGGATGGCTACAAGATTATGAAAGAATAGGCGGGGTACTAGAATTATATCTTTAATGAAAAATGTAAGGAACCTAGTTTTTTATGGCGGAATTTATTAATCTATACAAATAAATAAAATTGGAGTGTCTGTTTGTAATATTAAAATAACTGCTTCCTACTACATGCATATGAATGTATATACGGTACACATACTAAAATATATTTTTTTACAATTTTTGTCTGTCTGTCTGTCTGTCTGTCTGTCTGTTTGTTCCGGCTAATCTCTGGAACGCCTGGACCGATTTGGACGGGACTTCCACTGGCAGATAGCTTATGTAATAAGGAGTAACTTAGGCTACTTTTATTTTAGAAAAAAATCTTTTATTTTAGAAAAATAAAGTTATGTTGAAATGTTCAAGTACTGTCCAGTTCCGCGCGCAGCTCACGCGCATGCCACCACTGTGTCGTCGCATCGGATGTCGATCGGATGTCGTCTGTCTTTGTTACTGCATCAGGGATCAGGGATTTTAAAGACAAAATACGAATTCAATTGACTGAATACAATTTATTCATAGACTAGCCTCTGTCTGCGGCTTCTCTCGCGTTCTTTTAATGGGGTGAGGGAAGGATTTACAATAAAAAAATGAAATGATGCACGATTCTATGCTGGTCACAAATAACCCGCATACCAATTGTTAGCTTTCCACATTGAAAATTGCAAAATACCCCATACAAACTTTCACCTCTGTTTCACGGAAGTGGAAGGGAGTTAGAAAATGACAAAAAGTAGCCTATGATACTCTCCATCTTTTCAACTATCTCAAATCAAAAACCTTCTTGACTCCGTTCTGGCGTGAAATACGGACAAACAAACAAACAAGCACATACAAATTTATATTATTAGTATACATTTCTTAAGTCATCTGACATTTGTGTGACAAGTGAGTTTACAAAGTCAATGTGTCATAGATTTTTTTATACTATGGTATTAATATTAAGGTATGCAAAGAGGTTGACAGCAGTCTAAGGAGATAAAACCAAGAATAAAATATTTTCAGTTTACTTAAATTCGTATTTTTTATATGTATATCAAAAAAACTAGCTAAATGCACATAGCTAAAAAATAATATTAGACCTTTTCATTTTAGACCTTCAAGGCCAAATTCACTATGATAGTTTGCTGTTTGTTTATGGCATAAGCCGGTAAACGAGCAGACGGATCACTGCGCCGCCCATGGACATCTGTAACACCAGAAGTGCTAGAAGTGCGTTACCGGTCTTTTGGGAATTGGTAATTTGAGGATTGTCAGTGATTGGGGGGGCTGGGGGAGGGGTAATTGGGCCTCCGATAACCTCACTTACACAGCGAAACACTCCTTTAGGTAACCGAGGGCTGGGCTCGCTGTCATTGCAGCGGAAAGTCCCCTCTTTAAAAGTGGCTTTAGAGAGGCCATCAATGCAAGGACCGCCCGGAGAACACGGTGGAGCATACCGTGGCGGTGTACCTTGCATGGGCTGAGCACCGCCGTGTTCTCAGGGATGTAGGAATCGGTGACCTCTCGCGTTCGGCTCTGGTTCAGGCCATGGAGCGAGGGGGATTGGGATGCAGTCGCATCCTTCTGCGAAGCAGTTATGCTTGCCAAGGAGAAAGCGGAGCGCGTGAGGGAATGAACTTCCTCACGCCCCAGCCGTCGCGGGAGACACTCTGGGCGTCGGAGATCGGCCGGCCACCGGCCACCGTAAGTGCGGGTCTGTAGACGAAGAGCAAGGGTAGCTCGCCACCCGACCAGAACCAGTCCCGTGCATACGGCGCGCGCCTTACAGAGCCATGACACCATCATAGATGGAGCCCAGTAGGGCTGATGCTCGATACGGTGCCGCGGGAGGCCTAACGAGTTGACGGGGCTCCGGCTCGACGAGCAGGAGTAGGAACGGAGTGGATTTTAGTCAGTAAGAATCTGTCACTCCCTCTCACCTAACCCAAGGCGGGAGAAGTGATTGGATGATTTTCCGACCTCAAAAAAAATCTCCTTTAGGTAATGACAACCCGATGTGTGAAAAACTACCAAAAAAACTCCTTATATTATTGGTATTGATTACGCTGTGGAAATTATGGACAATAGAGCCAAGGGATGTATTAAGTCTTATAGAGGACATTAATATCAACATTAAAGTACATGTATCATATGTAACTAACCTAATATCAGAATACCTATTTTTTCATTTAAGTGTTTGCGATAGTAACGCACGTCGCACCGGTACATATCAGGTCACATTATAGGAGAGAGGAAATCCCAAAATGACGGAAACTATGCGCTAAAAAACCGGGACCAAGGACGTTGAAATAAAGAGGGGCTCTTACCTTTTAAACCATTGAACCTATTTGGTGAAATTCGGTACAGCCATAGTTTGAGACCCGGGAAAGGACATCTAAAAGTTTTTAACTCGATAAACCCACGAAACCGGGAACTGTGCTGTTAAAATCACTATATCTATTTGATTGAAATGCGATACAACATTGATTTGCAAACATAGAATAGTGAAACCTCACGAGACGGCCACTGTACGGGTAAAACCTCCATGGGATTGTTTATTTTAGAAACCACGAAAATACCTAAATTCATTTCTCAATAAATATAACCTAGGTACTGAATCGATTGTGATATTTGTTCCAGTTGTACAGCCGTAGAATATACCTTGACAAAGACTAATTTAAAAAACCTAATTTATACAGAAGTCGTTATTTCACGCGGACGAAGTCGCGGGTAACAGCTAGTTAACATAATAAAATTAAAAATACAGGGTTTCTAGGTTCCCGGACCACGGTACCCGGTGAAAAGAATTACTTCTAGTTACGTGAAATTATTAGCTAAGTTATTCAAAATACAGGGTAAAGTAAAACATTGACAGTATCGTAGGACTATCTATACAAGGTGTAGTTTTAAAACCGTGGCATTTCTCGGGGGCATGTCACAGAAGGCATAAAGGTTCAATGTAAGAGAAAGTTTCGGGCCTATAGTTAAAAATACGGCCATAATAAATCGTTTAACTTCGACAGTATTTCAGAATAAGCGACAGCAATGTATCTTATTGGAGTTTTATGGAATTAGGAATAATATCAATTACGTGTTTGAGTTTGTGTGTGTTAAACCGCATTATAAAGCTAGTTACAAGACGGCGGCGTGCAGTTCGCACTTACGGATTTCCGTAATTTACATAAAAATGAAAAATATTTGCCTACAATTTTTTTTATTGATTCGGACTCAGAATCGATAGCCGAGTTACCTCCTAGAAAATGACGCGGCTTTAAAACAACACCTTGTATTATCTACTGGTATTCTTAAATTGTTCAACATTTCATTAATAATATTCCTAGTCTATCGCTCTGCTACTCTGGGTAGGTAATACTACTCTGGTAACAGCGCGACAGACTAGAAAAGTTTAATATAAAAATAATATTTCAGTTTCTCACAACAGTTTTAATTTAAAAATAATAACATAACATCACCTTTTTTACCCCCGAAGGGGTAGGCAGAGGTGCACCTCTAATATGCATATTACGGCACTTAGGTAGTGCCACTGTACCTACAATGTAACACCCACTTTTCACTATTTATGTTATGACTCCCATGTAATAGGGAGTGAGTCTATTGCCATATACCGGGCACAATTCCAGACTCCGTGCTACTACTGAGGTTATTACAAACCCAGTAATACTTTGCCCGACCCAAGAATCGAACGCGAAACCCCTTGCCCGGCAGTCGAACTTGCAACCACTCAGCCAATGAGGCAGTCGATATAAAAATAAATTTTCAGTTAAATGCGACAAATAATAAAAAGTACGTAAGATAAGCGTATTATGTCGTGATTATGACTATAATCACGACATAATACAGAATACTGTTTCATATTTCAATAGAAATAGTCCTAAAAATATATTATGTGAAGCAAAACAGCGTTATTACTTAGCGTTTTCTCGGATTTACTTGCTATGAAAATGTTATTATCTATCTACTATTTTTTCAGCAAAAACTATAATAACTACTATAATATTTTAAAATATAAAAATAACAATAGAACGTCATATTAAAAAAATCTTAAATATTGTTACCTACCTAAATAACTTAATATAACATAACATCACGCCTTTTATCCCCGAACCACTTTTCACTATTAATGTTATGAGTCCCATGTAATAGGGGGTGAGCCTTTGTCATATACCGGGCAGAAATCCAGACTCCGTGCTACTATTGAGATTATTTTTAAAACTCAGTATAACTTTGCCCGACCCGGGAATCGAACCCGAGACCCCTTGCCCGACAGTCGCACTTATTACTCGCACACATCAAGATAAACAATTATTTCTAATTTCTGTATTACCTATTTTAATTTTAAACAAGTTAAAGACTATATACAAAGAAAAATACTCACATAAAGTTGTTTCAATGCTGTTCAATAATAAAATAATTGGTAAAAACGTGAGCAGACTGATCAACATTCTTTAATTTTCTGACTTCTCACAACACAATTTTAAAACAACGCCATCTATCGGTCACAGTCCATAAACTTCCTCATTTTCTTCCCCATTAAAATTAACGTAAAGATTAATTAATAAATGATTAACTCATTAAAGAACGCCATTAATTTTTTTTATAGTCGTAATTGTGTGTACCTGCATAAGTGCATACCTACAAAATCACTTATACTGGCATAATATCAAAACTGTAATCACCGTAGGGATAGACAGAGGTGTACACAATAACGTAACATCTTGGGAGTCTTACAAACTCTATAAATAGTCGGTAGGTATCATCATCAACAGCCTATAAATGCCCACTGCTGAGCAAAGCCTCTTCTCACACGGAGAAGGTTAGAGCATTAATCACCACGCTTGCTCAATGCGGGTTGGCGATTTCAAACTTATAATTAGAAATTATAAGTCCAGGTTTCCTCACGATGTTTTTCCTTCACCGTTTGTCAGTGGTGTCTAAATAATCTTAGAAAGTACATAATAACTCGGAAAAAGTCACATTGGTACTTGCCGTTGATAGGTTTCGAACCCGCACCCTCATGCATGAGAAGTGGGCGTCTTAAACCTCCGGGCCACCACGACATATAGTCGGTAGGTATAGGTACTTGTATTTGCTTAACCCGGGAACTGCACTCAAAAGCATTTGTGTACTAGTGATCACAAAACCAAAAAGGCTTCAAAAAAGGAGAACGTTCTCAATTCGACTGTATTTTATCTTTTACTTACAGGCAGGAACACTAGAGGTAGAAGAAGAATATGGTTTAAGTATGGGAATGCAATGCTTCGGCACGAATGGGCCGTCTCGACCCGAGTGATCACGGTCTCACAGAATACCAGCGTAAAACGACTTCGCCGTTTGAGTGAAGTTATCGGAGGCCCAATTTCCCCCCTTCCCAGTCGTTTTAATCACCAAATTCCTAACCCTTGGAGCTTGGCCCCCAAATAACTGTCAATTCACTTGGCACTCCACTCTGGTGTTTGGAGTGTCCATGGGCGACGCTGATTGCTTACCATCAAGTAATCCGTTTGCCAGCCTATACCATATATAATAGTACAAAATATAAACCCTATAACTGTTAGAGTAAGAAAGACTAGTGATTGTACACCATCCAGTAGATCAAACTACTCCAATCTGTCAAAATTCAATGGATTGTCGATTTTATGTCTATACGATAAAGTTGAAGATGTAATAGAAAAAAATAACAGAAAAGGCCTGCTGGCCACCGTACTTTAGGTTGTAACAAAAAAAACACCGAACAATAAAATAAACTCGTTTATTCGTTCCATGATAATTACTTTTAACTCAAATTACTTAAGTTTTAATTACGTATCGCCTAATACATGATGGTACGTATTAACTAAGTTAAGCCACGTATTACTATTAATTAATTAACTACTAAACATTCAAGTGATACTATTCGTCCGCCGAGCAAGTAACCGAATTTAGAAAATCGACTAAATTATTTAAAAAAATCGACTAAACTGTTTTTAATTGATATTCTTTGAAATAAATTTTCTGTTTAAATTACCTTTCAAACTACAGAAACAGATAATAGAAGTTATAAATTAAGTAATTGCCATATTAATTTATTTTAGTACGAATGGACTATAATTGATCTGTTTCACATTAGTTAAAAATTTAACTACTTACTCGGCCCACACAACTTTTATCCTAAAGGAATGAAAATGAAATGAAAAAACAAAGCATTAACACACAAAAATCGCGTGTTAGCCAACTATTTGAAAATGCCGATGACACACACACACATCGAAATGAAAATAGGCTCTTCACACTTACTATTATTAAAAATAAGTTAGTTTACTAATACGTAAACTGAATACAAGACACGGGAAAACTAATAAATGTACTTATACTTTCAGTATTCAAACAAAACTATTCGATTCATCGACTATTCGACCTTTAGTCGATTTAAAATTTCGTTTTAGTCGATTTATTTAATTTTCAACTGTTAAATAATCGATGATACCGAAGTTGTAACTAATGTTCTCTGTAAGTATTGTACAATTATGTGAAATATCAAATAACTAATCGTTCATTCGTATTACATACTAAGTAAAATTAGTCACAAAATACTTAAAAAACACAAAACAGTGAAATGATACTAATGCACACAATTATTCGATCGACAAATCGACTAACAGAGAGTCTGATCGACTGCACAGCTGCTACGGAAACAAAAACTCATCTTGAAATGACACGATATTAAAAAAATATATATATTTTCTACATAAAGCGCGAATATAAATTCAAATTCACTGGTAAATAATTATAATTCATAAATAAGAAAGAAAAAACATATAAATGGTAATTAATGTCACAAAAAAATACATTTATTAATTTGTAACAAAAATCTGTTAGTCTTTAAACTATATTGGCGCCATCTAGGGATCGCAAATAAGTTGGGGGAACATGTAAATCGTATCATATCAAGATAAGCGTAGGGTTTAATTTAAATGTCTGATGTTAGGGCTTCGTCGCATAAACGCAGTGTGCAGAACACACTCCTGCCATCTGCTGAACAGGTGCAGTCGTTGCAATCACGTTTGAACTGCTCGCCAGGGTTACAACGGAAGCCTTGATCCGATTCTGAAAGTCAAAGTCAAAGCATTTATTTCAATTAAACCATAATTTGATTCTTTTGAAACGTCAACAAATACAAAATAAATAATGGTCTGTCAGTCAGTCCGTCAGTGAAGCTAGGTGAAGCTAGGTGCTCATTCCAAAATGTAGATTCGAATGGAGAAGAACGAGCAAGAAACTCCGTAACGAACAAGAAATGAATCATTATATAGACATGTCTTTAATAGTTATTTCTAATAAGAAATTGGAGAAGTATATTATTTATACATACTAGATTATTTTTAACGGTTTCGGTCTCGCGTGAACATAACATAACATAGCATCACGCCTTTTATCGCCGAAGTGATAGGCAGAGATGGACATTACGGCACTTAATGGCACAGTACGATGTAACACCCACTTTCACTATCTAAGTTATGAGTCCCATGCAACAGGGGGTGGACCTATTGCCATATACCGGGCACTTTTTCAGACTCCACGCCTCTGGTGTTCCAGGTGTCCATGGGCGACGCCGATTGCTTACCATCAGGTGATCCGTCTGCTCGTTTACCGGCCATGTATGCCATTAAAAAACCTAGATACAAGCTTTCGCATTGATTAGTAGTCAAAAATGTTAGTTCCCATTTCCATTTCCTTTCTATCATGATGTATTCAGTTAGTCTTACCTACCAGGTGCATGTTCGGTTTCAGTCTTGCACCGTTTAAGAGAGCAGGTCGCGAACTGTCCATTGTCGGTGCACTTGCAGACGTTGCAACCGCGGTCGAACACGCTGCCTGGCACACACTGCATCGAAAGCTGCTCGGATATTTCTGTAATAAGATTAGGTATTAAATCATCATCATCATCAACAGCCTATAAGTGCCCACTGCCGAACAAAGCCTCTTCTCGCGGAGAAGGTTTGAGCATTAATCACCACGCTTGCTCAATGCGAGTTGGCGATTACAAACTTATAATTAGAAAAGCCTGGTTTCCTCGCGATGTTTTCCTTCACCGTTTATCAGTGGTGTCTAGATCTTAGAAAGTATATATAACTCGGAAAAAGTCACATTGGTACTTGCCGTTGGTAGGTTTAGAACCCGCATCCTCATGCATGAGAATAGGACTTAAACTTCCCGGCCACTACGGCGACATAGGTAAATTAATAGTATGCTTGTTTCCTGAAAAACCATACAATGACTTATCCCGCCTTGGGTGAGGCGGGAGGGAGGGTCAGACTCTTACTCACTAAAAACCACCCCTTTCCTACTCCTGCTTCAGAACCTCAATAACCCATTATCCGCGGCATTAAACTGTCAAACACCAAGCGGTCACCGGTGACCGCAACCTATTGTTCTTTAATTGTGTCTATAAAACCGGTACTCGACGAGTTAATAATATGCTTAAATTAATTTCTTTATTGTCCCAAAATAAAATGGTACATTCCTTCCATGTATTACCGAGGAAAACCAATTAATAATAATCTATAGTAAAATTATAAAGCTGAAGAGTTTGTTTTTTGTTTGAACGCGCTAATCTCCAAAACTACTGGTCCGATTTGAAAATTCTTTCTGTTAGATAGTCTATTTATTGAGGAAGGCTATAGGCTATAAAATATCACACTACGATTAATAGGCGCCGAGCAGAACGAGTGAAACGGCGCGGAAGTAGCTTGTTATTAATAATATTTAATCAAATTGTACCTCGTTTACTCCTTACGCCAGTGAAAGCACTAGCATGGTGGTTGTTGTTCAGGGCGTTGCAGTCGTGTCGTGTGCAGGAGAAGTCCTGTCCCTTATTGTCACAGAGGCACTTATTGCAGTCCATCCGAAACTCTTGTCCTGGCTTGCAGGCTTTTGGCGGCTCCTACTAGATACATTTAGTACGTTGTTATTTGTTATTATAGCGACGGCACGGTTGGCGCGGTGGCTGGGCAACTTGATGCCGCGCAACGCGTTGCGGATTCGATTTACACACGGTACAACTCTTTGTGTGATCCACAGATTGTTGTTCCAGGTCTGGGTGTCATATGTGAATTTGTATGTTTGTAAACGCACCCACGACACAGGAGATAATCCTCGTATGGGGCAAAGTTTTATAAAAAAAAACATAATAATAATAAAAAGAGTAGCATTAAATTCTCCTACTATTTTGGCATCATCATCATCATAGTTGGTTTCAAAATGTTCGTGCCAACTAGATGATGCTAAAGCAGCGTAAGATCGATTTTGCCCAATAACTGTCAAAAATTAACTGTGCATTATTAGACTAACAGGACATAACGCTACTTTAACGCCATCTAGCAAACAGAAAGATGTTGACTAAAATAATATCAAAGACTTAAAAACAAATAAAATATTACCGTAGTTAGTGATCGTACTTTTCTCGATAGTGAGGCGTTCTGAAAAATAAAAAATATGTATTAATATGCATGCCACTAAAGAAGGCTATGTGTGAAAATGCGAATACAGATAATATTGCACCTTAAACAAATGTACCTAATAAAGATAAATGTTAATCAACGTTAGGTTAGTCAAGGAATTTGAAATAATAAAAAAACAAAAGATAGTGAAGAAGTCTTTATTATTAGTGAAACATCCACCACCATTAAAAGAATTCAAAATATTACACAAAAGCCAGAACCGCGAAGTTATTCAATAACTAGATACAATACATAATACTAGTAAAATTACTTTATTCATTTTTCACAATTTTTTTCACCAAAATTCATCAACTTCAGTACAGCGATTTAGGTACAACACAAACATATAAAATAAACTTTAACATATTATACAATAACTAGACAGGATTAAAATTATTTCAGAAAATAGCCATCACCAGATAATTATTAAGTAATTTTCGGATAATAAGAAAATTCTAGAAAAACTAGTAGTTTTAGTGAACCAAATAACCCCAAAGATAAGTCAAAAATGAGGCATAAAACCTTCTGGTCATCTGGTAGTTCTTCACAAGCCCTTCTGGTGCAAGCATAGGACTTGCCATCAGGGTTACACCGACACATGTTGCAATCCAACTCAAAAACTTCATTCGGGCGACATTCCTTCTTGATCACGCGAAGATTCTGCTCGAAAGAGGAGGGAACATAGATCATGATACGATTGAAGCCAAAGTATAGGAGATTCAAGCTAAATTGTTTTGAGAATTCAATAAAGCAATATACAATGCAAATAAATTTACCTTACAGTAACCACAAGACACTGATAAAAAGCAGAGAAAGTAGGAAAAAAACTCGCATTGGATGGACACGTGGGGCTACTGAGAATACTTAAAATACTATAAAGGAAATTGGCAATACTTCAATAGAAAGGATAGACATGCAAGGCATTTCTTCATTACCTATAAGAAAGATTATTGAATCCACAGTGGTGGCCAAACTTTGTTAAAAGCCGAAAAGTTTTGATAATTTTATTTATTTATTTATTTATTAACACTTCTGTATATTAAACATACGATGGCTGACTTAATGCCGAGTGGCATTCCCTAATAGTCAACCATGGGGTGATGCAGAGATGTGCAACAATAGGTGTAATAGGTATTATGGTTTAATTTATGTGACACAGAAAAATCTATATAAATAAAATAAATTTTAATCGATGGATTGTCTAGCTGGTTTCTATACAAATGTGTCTACTTTGTGGCTATATAAAGGCTAAAGATATAGAAGGCTTCTATATGCTTTGAAAAATTTAACGTTCAAACTGTACAACTAATAATAATAAAGATAGCAACAAACTGCCCTGTGAAGGAAAAGGTCTCAGGGCTCATACACAAAACTGCGATACGATGCGAATTCGCAAAAGAAAAGAAAATTACGATACGAATTGCTGCGATGCGATTTCGTGCAACAAGTCGACTCTCAGGGTGACCATTCTACTAAACGTATTTTAAATTGAATACTAGGTCGTGACATGGATCGTAAAAGAAGTGTGCACTTTTGTTATTACTTAGGAGATACAGGAAAAAGAAACAAAGAAGATTTCGGGAAGAGATAAGATTTTGATGCGCGATGCGAATCAATTCTCAAGGTTTTGCGATGCATAGAGGGAAATTGCACATTTTTCGATGCGACGTGGCATCGCAGTTTTGTGTACGAACCCTCAGTCCGATAAAAACGGCGTCGTAACTTCATATATCGCAACTATTCACACGATCACATCTAGAACTTCCAAAAATATATTCCAAGAGATACCACATGCATTTGCCCATCACCCTAAGCCATGCTAATACGTTATAAAAGTTTCTACTTCAGCTGGTATTCCTCCGATATCAGGTTGGTCTTCTGGCAGCAAAGGCACGCAAACCCGGCGAGTGCAGTAATAACTAGTCCCATCTTCATTGCACCAACATGTGTTGCAGTCTTTTATAAACATACGATTGGCCTCGCAGACTCGAGACTTCGTTTTATTTTTAGCTGACTTCATTGTCTAGTGAAATTAAATGAAATGGAAGTTAGTTCTACAATGGTGGTTGTACGATGTTCAAATGTGTGCTGTTAATCATAACGGGTAATGGAATGAAAACATTGAATGGGCATAGAGTTAGGGCTTACTGTCCACGTTGCGTCTTTTGACGAATGCATGCATTTGACGAAAACGATACGCGGATTTAATGTTGCCGCTACGTGGATAGTTTTCATTGTTTGTGTTTCTGAGCAAGATGCAAGCATTTGGCATTCGTCAAATGACGCAACGTCGTAACCTTTAATTTGGTAGTGTATTTACTACACACAGAAACTAGTAGTTCATTTACTAAAGACTAGTAAATGTCACAAGTAAATACCACACTACTCCAAAAGTGATCACGTATCAAAATAAAAATCTAATGAGTCCAGTCAGTTAGATAATGAAAACATATCTGACATGTATTTTTTTAATTTTCTCGTATTAAGTTGCAATACTTAGTTAGCATGGCGATAAGTTTAGGAGTGGGAGATCGTTACGTCATAACGTGCTACAAAATGTGACACGCTGTGACGTAACAAGATATTTCAAATTAATATATCGTCGAAAGTATTTAATTTTGTGAGAAAAGAAAAAATACGTGTCTAAAGTTTTAAATTAATGTACCAGACGGACGTTAAAATAAAATTTAGGAAACTACCCTATTGTGAAAGACTGGGTTGATCAGGTACTCGTGGTGGATAGAACAAATGGAAAGTACAAAAAGGTAATATCAAAATCATGAGTGCTATAAAGACGAGTGATGAATTTAAACATTCATGAATCAAAGTTAAAACCAAAGGATGATAATAATTTGGGTAAGGAACTAAATGAGTGCATTTAATGATAGATAGAAAATATGTGTATAGTGAACCAATACCAACTCAATAAATATATGGAGGGTTACAATAAACATAACATAACATAACATCACGCCTTTTATCCCCGTAGGGGTAGGCAGACGTGCACATTACTGCACTTAATGCCACTGTACAATGTAACACCCACTTTTCACTATTTATGTTATGAGTCCCATGTAATAGGGGGTGAGCCTATTGCCATATACCTGGCACAATTCCAGACTCCGTGCTACTACTGAGATTTTTTTTAAAACCCAGTAAAAGTTTGCGTGACCCGCGAATCAAACCCGAGACCCCTTGCTCGACAGTCGCACTTGCGACTCGGCCAACGAATTTACAATAACTGTAAGTAAATTTTTATTTTTACTAAATAACCTGTAAGATATTAGTAGATGAATAAAATACCAATTCCATTTATAAAAGCTTTGGTATTAATTTATAAAAATTATATTTATATTCTTGTAGTTTTTTTCATGATAACTAATAATTATAATTAAAAGTATTGTTATTCACAATTTCGCAGCTTTATATTCTTTTTCTGTTTCGAAATCACCCAAGTACGGCACAGCAGGTTTTATTTCCTGAAATCGGAAAGAAAAACATTTATTAACCACGACTACGATTCCTCGACTTATTTCAAACTACACCCGGGATCCGAAACCATAGCAACATGCGTGACAATCGAATACGTGCGTACAATCGAACAGCAAATTTGTACCTTATATCTCAATACTTTTAAAGTGCAAATCAGCTTACCTTGAGTTCATGAAACAGTTCAACGTCAGCGGGCAGTGGGCATGGTTTATTGGTACATGTATAGTCAGTGCCTATAGCGTTACAGTGGCATGTGTTACAGCCTATATAGAACGTGTTGCTAGCTCGACATACTGAGTGACGTTCTATGTGATCCTGGCCCTGAAAATATAGGAACTGTTATAAAAACATCACTGTTTTTTTATGGCATAAGCCGGTAAACGAGCAGACGGATCATTTGATGGTAAACAATCGGCGTCGCCCATGTACACCTGGAACACCAGAGGTGTTACAAGTGCGTTACCGGCTTTTTGGGGATTAGGAGTTTGAGGATCGTTGGGGATTCAGGGATTGGGGAGATTGGGGAAGGGGAGGGTAATTGGGCCTCCAGTAACCTCCCTCACACGACGAAACACAACGCAAGCGTTGCTTCACGTGGGTTTTCTGTGAGGCCGTGGTATCACTCCGGTCGAGCCGGCCCATTCGTGCCGAAGCATGGCTCTCCCACACATCACTAGCAGATTGGACCCATAATTATGTGTCTTACAACTGCCACCAAATGCTAAAGAGTCTTTATCATCAACAGTCTGTGGTTTCTACAAAAGAGGGGTTTGTCAAAACTTCCATGAATGGCCAGTGAATCTTGAAAACTAAAGAATGCAGTACAAGTTAAAGGTTATCTCAGTGAGTGCTGCTGCAGTTGATTTTTACAACATCTGGCAAGTGCCAGAAAAAGTAGAGGTGATAACAAAAATGTATTCTTCTATGTCGTCAGCAAAATATGGTACAATGCCCAACAGATCCTTTCTGACAAATTTCATTAGATTTCCGACTCAATTATTATCTAATAAGTCGAAAGTTCAATAAAAAAATGAACAATACGTACCTCACTTTGCATAAAGACTTCAACTTCCTTGTCCTTATCTTCTTCTTTACCAACTTCTGTCTCCAAACACTCATTGTGAGTGCAGGAGAAGCTTAGTCCATCATTGGCACATTTGCAGGGGTTGCAGTCTCTCATGAACTCCTCAAGAGGCTTGCAGATCGACCGCTTTAAGATCACCAGGTCATGCTCTAAATCTAATCCTCCTATGTCATAATTATTTTGATTCTGAAGAAGAATAAGTTTAGAACAGTTTATTATTCAAAACAATATTAAAAAACCACAATTGAATTAAGCAATGATAATTATTAATGTCGTGGTGGCCCGGAGGTTTAGGACTTAAGGCTTCTCATAATTGAGAGTGGTGGTTCGAAACTTACTAACAGCAAGTACCAATGTGACTTTTTTTGAGTTATATGTTGTTTCTAAGATTATGTAGACACCGCTGCCAAACGTTGAAGGAAAACATCGTGAAGAAACCTGGCTTATAATTTTTAATTATAAGTTTGAAATCGCCAACCCGCTTTGAGCAAGCGTGGTGATTGGTGCAAACCTTCTCCGTGCGAGAAGAGGCCTTTGGTCAACCGTGGCCACTTATAGCCTGTTGATGATGATGATGATGAATTATTATTAATTAAAAGGTGTAAATAGCTTATAAGCACTTAGAAAGGGCCACGTTGAAATGTAGAGGTAGTTAACTGGCCTCATTTTACCTCAGAGTTACGTTAACCCGTCAGTAATACATTCATACATACGTTAATCTGCCTTATTGACGATCAAGGGGGACATATTTACACCTTTTTACTTCTAATAGCATTGGTTTTAAGCCTTCAAATCTACTGCCAGGATGGTCAGGAATTGGAAAGGACTGGTTTTTAGTTAGTAGGAGTCTGTCACTTCTTGAAAAATCATTTGCCGGTTATCCATCCTCATAAAGAGCCTTAGAACTAATAGGAGATGCACTTAACAGTGTGACACCCTGATTGATTCTCCTATAATAGGGGTCGAACCCATTACAATAGTTCAAGCTCTTACACGGGCCTACGGATAGCGAACATAGATGACCGCCACGGATGGGGCTCAATAGGGCTGATGCCGATACGGAGCCGCGGAAGGCTTAACGAGTTACCAGGGCTCCGGCTCGAAGGGCAGGAGTAGGAAAGGGGTGGTTTTTAGTCGGTAAGAGTCTGACACTCCCTCCGGCTTCATCCAGGCGGGAGAAGTCATTCGATGCTATTCCCTCTTAAAAAAACAGTTCAGGGTCTTATTATAAAAAATTGAAAACTTATTTATGCTTTTTTATGGGAGAGGTCGGCAAACAAGCAGACAGATTTCCTGATGGTAAGCAAACGGCACCGCCCATGAACAGTCGCACCTCTAAGGAGTTATAAATGCGTTATTATCGGTTTGCCTTTTGGCTATTAGGGATTTGAGAATCTAGGGATAGTAGTGGGATGGGCCACCGGTAATCTCACTCTTACGTTAATTCAAAATGAACTTACCTTACAATGAATGAATTGTGCACCCCATTCACCAAGTTGTGCAAATGTAACACGAAATTAGTTGTCGATGACAGTCACGAACATCGATTTAAAGTAAAAACACATCTTATACTATTATATAAAGCGGAAGAGTTTATTATTTTGTTTGTTTGTTTGAACGCGCTAATCTCCGTAACTACAAGTCTGATTTGAATAATTCTTTTTGTGTTGGATAGTGCATTTATCGAGGAGGGCTATAGGCTATAAAACATCACGCTACGACCAATAAGAGCTGAGCAGAGCGTGTAAAACCGCGCGGAAGTAGCTATTATTTTTTATTTATGCATATTGTATAGTATTTTATAGTAATGATGGTTTTAATTTTTGCACTCAAAAGATGTATTACTAGTGAGGTAAGGTCCTATTAGACCAATCTTGGTATTAGCAAATATTCAATTGGACTATAATTATGAAGTTACAGCAATGCCACTAATGATACGAAATAAATTTAACGTATACGAATGATGTGCCATTACTTCTGGCTTTTTCATAACGAAAAACCACGAACCCATTTTTAGTACATCGTTTATTCCTACCTTTTATGCTTTCTTTATTCATTACGTCCGTCAACAAAAGAATGTTACCTTTATTTTGTACGTACTCACCAGATGGCACTAATATACAATGGAGTAGTTTCCAGGGTAACAAAATTAAAAATCTAATTAGTCCGTCAATTAGATAAGGAAAAAATATTAGACACTTTTTTTATTTTCTCGTATTAATGTGCGATACTTAGATAAAATGGCGATAAGTTTATGAGTGGGAGGTTGTTACGTCATAACGTGTAAAAAATGTGACACGCTGTGACGTCACACGATATTTCAAATTAATATATCGTCGAAAGTATTTAATTTTGTGAGAAAAGAAAAAATTCGTGTCTAAAGTTTTAAATAAATGTACCATATAAATAAAATTTAGGAAACTGCTCTATTATAGAGGTAGATATATTTTTGCGCAATAGACGAATAGATACAAACAGTCCAATTTTAAACAGACTTAACGCTACATTTACGCCGTCTGATGGTTGTTAGAGACACAAAAACCCTTATGAAAGATAGTTATGTTGATCGTTATTATGTATAAGATATTTAGGCACTGTGTATTGTACTTACCGGGACTAAGATTTCAGTTTTGAATGGTTGACTCGCTTCATCTTTGTTATTTAACTCAGTATCAGCGATGAGGATTTCAGGAACACTATCGATGCTGTCTGAAAAATAAAATATCGGAATGAATTCTTTAGTTTTTATTAAATACAATCGATTCACTATCTATACAAATAAAAATAAAAAATAATTTTCTCTCGTTAGTCTCGCTAAAACTGGAGAACGCCTGATCCGATTTGGCTAATTTTGAAATGTTGAAATGGTCGCGGGAGTCCAGGTAAGGTATAAAAGGTTTTTTTATAGCTGAAGCCGGTAAACGAGCAGATGTATCACCTGATGGTAAGCAATCGGCACCGCCCCTGGACACTCGAAACACCAAGGCGTTACCGGCCTTTTGGGAATTGGGAATTTGAGGTTTGTTGAAGATTTCGGGGATTCGGGAGATTGCGACTAGAGACGGGGCTAGGGTCATTGGGCCTCCGGTAACCTCACTCATACGACGAAACACAACGCAAGCGCTGTTTCACGTCGGTTTTCTATGAGGCTGTGGTATCACTCCGATCGAGCCAGCCCATTCGTGCCGAAGCATGGCTCTCCCACACTTATCCTATGTATACAAATACAAATAAAAAATAAATTGTTCACAACGAGAATTGAAATGCACCAACTGTGCAGCTATGATCTCCGCTTGGCAGATTAATTGAAACATTCAGTTTTAAGAGTTCAGCTTTATAGAGACTGCTGCTGCCCGGTAGAAATCAGTTCATAATTGTAACAATCCTGACATACGTCAAAGGTTATGAGCCCCGCTCGTGACTTGAAACTGGACGAGCACCCTCGAACAGTTACATAAGTAATACATGTTTTGTAATTTAATATATGTTACAATATTATTAACATATTATAAGTAATTGTATGATTACCTGATCTCCGACAAAACTCCAAGGTACAAAGTCCAAGTCCATTCTCGAGGCAAATGCAAGTGTTACAGTCTCTCTGGAAAGTCGTGTTTGGCTTGCAGAGAACAGGCTCCGCTGAAATGATACGTAATTCAATGTAAATTAAAGTCATAATCCTATTAATATGATAAACGTAGCTGGCTGCCTCTGATCGCAAGGTTAGTGGGATTTCAGAATCAATTCATGGATTGGAAAAGTGCTTAACATCAATTTTTTTTTTTTGATATAGCTCTGATGTTGCGGGTGTCCATAGTTGGGCCGATTGCTCACCATCAGGTGATCGTGGTCGTGGTGGCCCGGAGGTTTAAGAGGCCCGCTTCTCATGCATGAGAATGCGGGTTCGAAACCTACCAACGGCAAATACCAATGTGACTTTTTCCGAGTTATATGTACTTTCTAAGATTATCTAGACACCACTGACAAACGGTGAAGGAAAACATAGTGAGGAAACCTGGGCTTATAATTTCTAATTATAAGTCTGTAATCGCCAACCCGCATTGAGCAAGCGTGGTGATTAACAAACCTTCCCCGTGTGAGAAGAGGCGGTCAGCAATGGGTATTTATAGGCTGTTGATGATGATAAGGTGATCCGTCAGCTCTCTCAAATAAAAGAAAGGCTTACCAAATACGCCTTTATCGCAAGTGTCTTGTTTGAGGCACTCGGCGACTCCCTCATCGGAGCAGCGGCAGTAGTGGCAGTTACTCTCCCATTCACTGCCGACCAGGCACTGCACCTCCGTCGGGTCCCCCGGTAGTGATTCTGGAATGTTCAGCAATAACATTTTAGGGGTGTTCATTCTTTACTGAGGTAGTAGACAACCTTGCGGGTTACCGGGGCTTCAGATCGAAGCTGAAATAGAAACGGGGTGGTTTAGCTAGTAAGAGTTTAATGTTTTGGGTGAGGAGCAAGAAGTCATTCGATGATTTTCCCCCTCAAAAAAGGGGTACCTATTCATTCTATACTAAACGAGACACCAATTCATATTAGAGGTGTTCTTTACTAAAAATTAGCGTCGTTGTCTCGCCGGGATTGCGGGTGAGCCCCTACCCATCGACCGCGGCCCCCGTACACGGCAGTAGATGGAAAAGGGTATTTTTAATCAGTAAGATTCTGACTCCTTCTTCCGCCTTATCTAGGGCAAGAAGAGTTATTTTGATGACTTACCTTTACTACTGACTGATGATGACTTACTATGATTGCAGAAAAGTGATATTCTTTACCGTGTATTTCAAACTTTTGCACGACACAGACATTAAAATGTAAATCTGAAATCGTCTATCCGCCTTAGTCAATACTTTTGTCTCAGTTTGTGTCAGAAGAACAGCAATATTTATAAAGATTGCAATAGGTGTAAATTGTGTAATTGAAACTCACCGTGTCTGTCAACTTCTTTAATTTCTTCTGTGCATGAAGGGTCCGTCACACCAGGTGAACATTTTATTGCTGAAATAGAAAAAGAAAATGAATTAATAAGTGCTTCATACTTATGACTATGTGAAAAAGATTGTAAAAGGATAACCAATATAACAAATAAGTTTTCGACAGAGACTCCATACTATGTCAGTCTAAAATCAATCTTAATCCAAAGAGTTTAGTCATGAATTTGGACCAGGAGGCGGGGCGCGTGAGGCAGCGAAGCGCAGGCTTCTCACAGCCCAGCCGTCGCGAAGGACACTCTGGGCGTCGGGGATTGCGGGACGATCTCCGGTCACCGTTAAGGAGGCCGTACACGCTAGGTTTTGCATGATGGTTTTAGCCGTGCATGCATAACCGAAAGGCAAGCCTTAGCGTGTATGTGATTAAACTGTACAGTTATCGGTGCATCGGTGCTCGGTTATGCTTGTCGGTTTTGCTTGCACAGTTATAACCATCATGCAAAACCTAGCGTGTGTGGTCGCCTTTAGCACGGGCCTACGGACGGCAACCATGGGTAACTCGCGCCCTGATCACAACCAAATCCAAGCGTGCAGCGCGTCGTTTTCCGCGCGCGCCTCAAAGAGCCATCAGACCACCACGGATGGGGCCCAATAGGGCTGATGCCGATACGGAGTCGCGGAGAACTTAACGGGTTACCAGGGCTCCGGCTCCAAATGCAGGAGTAGGAACGCGGTGGTTTTTAGTCAGTGAGAGACTGACACTCCCTCCCGCCTCACCCAGGCGGGAGAAATCATTCGATGATTTTCCCCCCTTAAAAACAAACATTAGTTTATGGCCCAAACTTCATCATCATTGACAGCCCGTGACTGCTGGGGCATATGAGCTTCCACGCTTCCTCTATAAGACGGGGTTAGCCATAATTTCAATAATTGCCAGGCAGGTTGAAGAAAGCAGTTAAAAGGATCAGGTTTGAGATTGTCTTTCGATTTAGATGGACGGAAAAGTTCCTTAAGATTAGACAATGCAATGGTTAAGTGAGTTATTTGGTTAAGTTGTGGTGGCCCGGAGGTTTAAGACGCCCGCTTCTCAAGCATTAGGACGCGGGTTCGAAACCTACCGGCACCAAGAGCGAGCACCAATGTGACTTTTTCCGATTTATGTGTACTTTCTAAGATTATTTAGACACCACTGACAAACGGTGAAGGAAAACATCGTGAGGAAACCTGGACTTATAATTTGGACATATAATTTCAAATTTATATGTCCACCCGTATTGAGCAAACGTGGTGCTCAATACTCAAACCTTCTCCGTTTGAGAAGAGGCCTTTGGTCAGCAGTAGTTACTTATAGGATGTTGATGATGGTGAAGACAATGCAATTAAAATAAACTAACTTTTTCATATTCAAGATACCTATTTCCGCATTATGTACAGATAATTTTATTTTATGTAGAGCTATTATAGTGAAGTAGTATGATCGTACAAAACCACGACTCAAAGACTGCGTTTCTAATTACTTAATTGACAAATGTCACATTGTAGACACTCACACTTCATGCTACGTGTCTAATGTTCAAAATTTTTTTATGAGAACAATTTATTATAATATTAATCATACAGTAAAAACATTGTTAACTACCATATTAATAAATAAATGATTTTAATTCTATTTAGTGAACATTATGCAATAACGATTTGTTTATTTATTCTGATTTGACAGCTTTGACGTTTAATTTCGCGCCATAAATCGTAAAAATGGCGGCGAAATGTCACGTGACACGTTTCGGGCGAAGCGCGCCCGGTCGGTCCTCAAGTTGCCCTTTAACCTTCACAATTATTGCAGTTCTATTAATAGCGACAACAATTGGTTTCAATAATTACATGCCGACGATCATCTTTGATGCTTGGATATTACGAAATTATCAGTAAAATAAAAACTGATTTTCCGTAAAAAAGAGGCGTCCGTCCATATTTGTTATCAATGACCCAGTGTAAGTTTAAGTCTTATTTTCATATTTCCTGTTTTTATTTTAGTAAAAACATGTCCATAAACCAATAAATCAATAAAATTTATTCATGTCAAAATCTATCGAATTTTACCGAGTATATAATGTCATGCAAACTGGCCGTAATGGCTAAACTGGACTAAAAACTCTTTCTTAATGTAGGAATTTAATCAATCGTCAATGGAAATACATAAGTGGAATACATAAATGGAAATAAAACCGTTTTACTCATCGTTCCGGTTTTGTGGTCGAATTCTGCAAAATTGCTGTCATAACAAAACTACATATTTGGTCCTTTAACAGTAAATTCCTATTAATTTTGTTACAGCACACATACATAAAGTAGAATTCATCAGAAATGTTGAATGGGACATTTATAATTATTATAGTACAGAATTACGCTTCTTTTCCAAGAAGGTAGGTAAACTACGTACTTAGACTTCGTCTTGGACAGACCAAATATGGTTTTACTAGCTACTTTCGCGCGGTTTCACGCGCTCTGCTCAGCTCCTATTGGTCGTAGCGTGATGTTTTATAGCCTGTAGCCATCCTCAATAAATGCGCTATCCAATACAAAAAGAATTATTCAAATCAGACTTGTAGTTACGGAGATTAGCGTGTTCAAACAAACAAATAAACTCTTCCGCTTTATATAATAGTATAAGATAATATGATGTTTTATTTGTTGAAGTATGTATTTGTTTTGCAGTATCACTATCATCAGCTTGTCTTTCTTCATTAATGAACATAGTCTGAGACTGAATCGTTGGCTGAGTGGTCGTAAGTGCGACTGCTGGGCAAGGGGTCTCGGGTTCGATTCCCGAGTCAGGCTAAATATTACTGGGTTTTAAAAAAATTTCAATGGTAGCACGGAGTCTGGAACTGTGCCGGGTATATGGCAATAGGCTCACCCCTTATTACTTGGGACTCATAACGTAAAATAGTGAAAAGTAGGTGTCACATGGTACAGTGGCATTAACTGCCATAATGTGCACCTCTGCCTAACCCTTCGGGGAACAAAGGCATGATGTTATGTTATAAACATAGTCCTCTTCAGTATATCGTCATCGACAGTCCATTGCTAGTAATATCTTTTGATCTAGTTTGTTGCGGTGTTCAATTTGATTCATGCTCATGGGGGCACCGGACTTCTGCTTTTCCTGGTTTACAAGAGTTGCGGTAAGTACCGGTTTTGAGAGGTTGTGGTAGACTTACATAATAACATAACATCACGCCTTTTATCACCAAAGGGCAGGCAGAGGTGCACATTATGTCACTGTACAATGTAACACCCACTTTTCACTATTCATATTATGAGTCCCATGTATAGGGGGTGAGCCGATTGTCATATACCGGGTACAATTCTAGACTCCGTGCTACTATTAAGGAGGATTTTTAAGGATTTTTTTAAATCCAATAATCATTTGCCCGACTCGGGATCGAACCCAAGACCAATTGCCAGGTAGTCGGATTTACGACCACTCAGCGAACGAGGGGGTTACGAAGAAAAATTGAAGTTTGATTTTTCAGTCTCGAGGATAGAGTAAAACTTGTGAACTTGTTACAAATGTACTCAACTCAGCCATCTCGCTCATCATAAAAGTCAAAGTCAAAATCAAAAGTCAAAATCATTAATTTCAATTAGACCAGAAAGGCACCTTTGAATGTCAATAATAAAAAGTGAAGCTAAAACGGCCATATTCCCCATATTCCCAGTTCTTAGAAGAACGATTCATAAAAGTTAATAGTTACTATAATTAATACACAAATGAGTATATAACACAATGGCATACCAAAGTATTCGTAGTAAGCGTTAAGAGATAACATAACGGGTACCCAGAACTGAGATAAGCCTGCCTTAATTAGAACATATATTAACATCACACCTCCTAACTTACTGTGATAAGTAGAGACTAGAGTTGTGCGTATATTATTAAATCTCACGCGTTTTTGCATTTCTTGCGTTATTTTCCTTTTTTTTTTTAACGAACAGACGGATCACCTGATGGTAAGCAATCGGCATCGCCCATGGACACCTGGAACACCAGAGGCGTTACAAGTGCGTTACCAGCTTTTTGGGGATTAGGAGTTTGAGCATCGTTGGGGATTCAGGGATTGGGGAGATTGGGGAAGGGGAGGGTAATTGGGCGTCCGGTAACCTCACTCACACGATGAAACACAACGCAAGCGTTGCTTCACGTAGGTTTTCTGTGAGGCCGTGGTATGATCCGGTCGAGCCGGCCCATTCGTGCCGAAGCATGGCTCTGCCACACTTAAAAAATATTTAATATTTATTTGCGTTACATGTAATAAAACATTTCTTCTCTTAGGCACAGAAAGCTGTATACATTACAAGGTGTAAATGGAACGACTGACAAACGGTGAAGGAAAACATCGTGAGGAAACCTTATAATTTCTAACTATAAGTATGAAATCGCCAACCCGCATTGAGCAAGCGTGGTGATTACAGCTCTAACCTTCTCCATATGAGAAGAGGCTTTGCTCAGCAGTAGGCGTTTATAGGCTGTTGATGATGACAGTAAAGGAAAAATGAGTTAAATAGCTTTGAGTAACTGTCAGTCAGTCAGTATGATGACGTCAGTGTACCGGGGAGTCATATGATCGTTAAAAAATATAGAACTATGAAGTCATCAAAATATTTACTTTACAAGTGTTATAGTTTTTTACTTAACCCGATAATAGGGAATCCCATTCATTGTAAATATTTATTTCATTTATTATTGTTTTTGAATGTACAAAACAACAAAAAAAAAACAATAAAATCAATCTTGTTTGCCCCGAAAATGTAAACACTATTAAGTAAAAAAATAATCTGTAAACATGCCATATTGTACTTAGTCGCTTTGATATTACAATGAGTTTTGTAAACATCCTGAAACAGTGCCCTGAAACTCAAATTCAAAAGCGTTTATTTCATTTAAAACTGTCAAACACCAAGCGGTCACCGGTGACCGCAACCTATTGTTCTTTAATTGTGTCTAAATACGGTACTCGACGAGTTAAACCATAATTTAGTACTTTTGCAACGTCAACAAATATA